GGGGTGGGCCCTGGTGGGGGGGGGGCCGGCCAGCCCTCAGGCTCCCTGGGGGGCCATGGAGATGGGTGGGTTGGGGGGCCAGACAGGCCTTTGGGCTCCCTGGGGGGCCATGGAGATGGGTGGGGTGAGGGGCCAGATAGGCCTTCAGGCTCCCTGGGGGGCCATGGAGATGGGTGCGTTGAGGGGCCAGACCTCCCTGGGGGCCATGGAGATGGGTGGGGTGAGGGGCCAGATAGGCCTTCAGACTCCCTGGGGGCCATGGAGATAGTCAGGGATTAAAAGGCCAGACATGCCTTTGGCCTCCTCGGGGGGCCATGGTGATCAGGGTTGTGGGGCTAGAGGTGTTTGTTTCCCTCGGGACTGCGGAGGTAGGTATTGGGGGACTAGATGTGCTCTTGATCCCCCTGCGAGCCATAGAGTTGGAGGAGGGGACACTGAGGGACCAGACATGCCCTTGGCCACCCTCAGGCCATAGCGATTGGAACCAAGGGGCCAGACATGCCCCAGGTAGCCCTAAGCCCCAAAGCTCCAGCAGGGTTGAAGGCCCAAGGCTGACCCCAGCTGCACGGCTGCAGAGAAGCGGGGTTAGGGGAACCTGCCTGCTCCCACCAGGCTGGGGAAGCCAGGCAGTTACAGCCCCACATGCCCCATATCTCACCGGTGCCCAGAGGCAGCCAGCTGGGCTCTTACGTGGGGGTGGGAGGGCAGTTAGGGGGCTCAATCCCCCAAACACCTTGCCTGGGACCACAGAGAGGAGAGGTTGAGTAGCCAGACCACATGTGGCCCCTCAAGTGGTGGGGCAGGGGGCCAAGGGGCTGGCAGTTGGCAGGGAAAGCTTGGGGATGCTGGTTCCCACCCCTGCTCAGCGGTGCCCCCCAGACACTCCCAGAAGCGTCTTCACGTGGGTCCCATCCCACCGCCACCCCCCGCCAGTGTGCTGTTTTGCAGCACAAGGAGGGTGTTGACCCTGCTGCTGGCCTGGCCTCTTCTGGGCCCGTGCTGGGGGTCAGCCCCACGGCCAGGGCACTGAGGGAGCTCTTCTCCTCCAGCTTCACCCTCATCGCTTCCCTAGGGCCAACACTCCGGTTGGGGGTCAGATCCGCTGCCGAGGGACACCCCAGCTTGCCTGGGGGCAAGGAAGCCAGCCTGGAGGAAACAACCTCAGCTCCGGGCCTGGGGCGCTACGGCACAAGGGTTCATGCCCTTGCCACGGGATCATAGAGATGAGCCAAAGAGGGGCCAGACTCTCCTGGAGCGACCAGAGGTGCTGTAGAAGTGTGAGCAGGCCTTCTGCTGGATCATCCCCAGCGGCGTGAAGACACAGCAGCTATCAGGCACTACTTGTCACCACAGGGCCATAGAGCTGGGGCAGTTGAGTGGCTAGCCTGCCCCACCCCACTCCCAAAGGAAGCCTACCCAAGAGGGTGGGTCCTCCAGCACCCAGCGCTGAGCAGTGGAGGGAGAGCCAAGCTGGGTAAGGGGAAGGGCTGGAAGGGGGGGGGGGCACCCTGATGCAGGCACCGCCTCCTGGCCCACCCCGTGGCCCGGCCCCCAAGCACCCCCCCATGCTGCCAGACCGGCTGATTTACAGGA